AGTACTGACAAGGGAGGCAAACGTTCCTCAGCCCAGTCCTCCCCTATCCTTCAAATGCAAAATGCAGAATTCATCAACAAAGCCCATCTCCAGAAACCCTTCGGGCCCATTCCAACCCATCATTTATGAGATACCAGTATACAAGTCATCACACTAGACACCATCTGTAGCTCAAATACCCCATATGGGTGGACTGACTCCTTAACTTCTGGAGAAGACCAATTATTCTCATAGAATGGAAACTCAAAATGTGGACTTTCTCCTCACCTTCTGTCCCAGTGACAATGGTAACCAGGAAACCAGCCAAAGGTTTTAGCATTAGATACACTTTAAATTGTAATTAGATGGTGCATATGCCACTTACAATGTACAAAGTGCAGTATCCCTCACCGGAGAGGTGATCGATTGGTTTCTATGGGTTCATTAAATAATCCCACATGTTCTCTTTCCAGGATGACTATATATTCCTGCACCACTGTACAGTAGACATCATCAGAGCTCGGGACCAAGGGAGGAACAAGAGATATGTAGACAATTTGGAGAACAGCTCAGAAGACCACAGTTATGAAACCACTCTTAAACGTCAACCCTCCGGAGCCCAGGAATATGAAACAGTTCTCAGACGTCAACCCTCCGGAGCCCAGGATTATGAAACAGTTCTCCAACGTCAACCCTCTGGATCCCGGGATTATGAATCTACATACGATTTTACCATTCATACCCCAGAAGAATCCCAAAACGAAGGCTCACAATTGTAGCGAGTGGACGATAAAAACTTGACATTCTAACTTATACATATTAGAAGTCCCATGATGATGGTGGATTCTAACAAAATATGAATGAAGTCGGCTTCTATTTCTAATTGTTGACGAAGAAGGCGCTTATGGTTGGATGGAACTGTATTTTGTATGAAGTCTAGCACATTGTGGAAGGCATTCATTCCTGCAACAGGCCGTAAAATGTGTAGGGCATTCAAAGGGGAGTGTACAATGTATTATTTTTTCATATATTTTCTTTATTTATAATACTCAGAACTAAAATACATTTTCCAAAATAGTGAAATATTGAATATCGCCATGTGAAATTTTGCAAATTAATATTTCTAGCCAGCAGGTGGCGCTGTAAGCTTTATTTACATGTATACCTGTCTGTTTTTAGCTTCTTTGCTGAAAATAATCCTGTTTACAGAGCACTAAAGCTCAAGCACAAAGTGAATGTGTCAGAGCAGCTACTCCCCCTCCCTGAGAACGCTGACTTTGTACATGTATTGAGACTCTGAGGTAACTGGGAAAACGAATTTGGATGAAGACAAAGAAGATGTATTCTCTGAGGTCCCCAGAGATATATGAGATACCAGCGGACAAGTCAGCACACCAGACTCCATCTGTAGCTCAAATATCCCATATGGGTGGACTGACTTTTTAACTTCTGGAGAGAGGCGTAGGCCAAGAACAATGATTCCCAAACTATGTTCACTGGCAAGAAACTAGCCATTCAACAGTGTTTACGTGTTTGGGCCAACATGATATTTCTGGCTATCGTTTAGCACTTTTTGCTGTAAGATATCATTCTCTTTATTGATATTTATGAATTGCAGTGATCTATTTATAACTAATTCGCAGAGCCATTCGCACTACAAATCATTCTGATGCTCGTTCTGTGTGAATAGATGCAAAAACGAACATTCTTTTATTTAATTTCTTTTCGGGGTCAAACGTATGTAATGCAATACTGAGTTATGGCCACTCGATGGAGCTGATGAGCATAGGAAATAAATACTTCAATTGTTTGCTCATCAGCAGCATCTAGTGTCCAAAATGCAGTATTGCATTACATACATTTGACATGAAAAGAAAAATACTGTATATCCGAGAACGTAACAAACATGCAGAATGATTTGCAGGGTAAATGGCTATAACACTTGTAAAACATCTGTGACCTTTTCTATCCATAGCTTACTTTCTGCATTTTTTTTGGATTTGATCCTAAGTATGGGGATAGAATTTGGTGCTTGAAGCCAAGCACTGACTGCATCTGTGAACCATTTGTGAAAATGATTTGCTGTATGTTTATTAAAGAAATGTCCTTCTAAACCTTTAGATTTATCCTTTAAAGTGACATTAAAATCAAAAAATGTTTTCCCTCCCCCCAATGTTAATGTCAGCACTTACCTTAAATGATGTTTCTTAATCCGCTCTTCTTCTTCTTCTTTCCTGATGTTTTCATCTGTCCCTCCAGCGCTGCGGCGGATCTCCGATCCAGCGCTGACTCCTCTGTCCTTGCTGGCACTTCCTGTCCCACGGTGTCTGCATGCGGGTGCACGCGTCCATTGACTTACCTTGTGTCTCTCCCCGCGTCCCGGCCAAAAATTTGAACTGCGCATGCGCCCGCCCCAAGATGCTTTGCGACCTCCCGAGAATGTTCACATTTTCGGACGGGAGCACGTGGGGAAGACACAGGTAAGTTTTCCCCGCTTTTAAAGCGTTTTTTTTGTTTGTTTGTTTTTTACACTTTTTGCATATATCTACTGCTTGCTAGAAGTAGATATATGCAAAAACACTGGAGGCTTTTAAGGAGAACAATGGGGTCAGGGCTTTTCCCCATAGCTCTCCTTAGGGTAACGTGCGGACACAAACTAGCGGCCTCCCGCCACCCTAAGCTCAGTGTACCGCGAGCTGTAGCTCGCGGTATACTGAGGCGCTGCAGCTGAAGCGGATCCCGACAATTATGTCTGGATCCGCCCAGCTGCGTGAGTGACAGCTGGCTCTGCCTATCTAGAGGAAGAGCCAGCCGTACCCGCCCCCTCCCCTGTCCGTTCTGCCAGTCAGCGCTGGAGGATCGGGAAGGGGGGAATCCAGCCCCTCCCCTGTCACGGCAGAGAGCCGTGACAGGATCGAGAGGTGAGCGAACGCCGGTATGTGTTCCCTCACTTCCCGATCTACTGAGCCGACCTGTGACAGTCTCATTGTCACAGGTCGGCTAGAACTATGAGGATGAGTGAAAAGCACTCACCTCATAGTTCTCATTTAATTATACTTTAAGGTCTTAATCCTTTTCATCATTAAAATATACATTTCAAAAGTGCATCACACAGAGATTTATACTACTGTTAACAGTAACCTAGGCATCCGCTAAAGCCTACATTTCTTTCAGTCATTCAGAGCAGGGTGTCTTAGGCCTCGCTCACATGGGCTTCACAGACATCCCAACCTGCAAAACCTTATTTCAGGGAGGTTCCCGTCAATGAGATCCCTGGCTTCAACTTGTATAGGAGCAATCTGCACCATAAGCTTTTGCAAAGCATTTGAAAAGCTTTGAGCAAACTTCCATCAACTTTGTTATTTCCAGTGTGTGAGGATGTTAAATTTAGCTCTTCATGGGAGTCCTTACTGCCACTTTAAACAAACTACTAGTAGGTTCCAGCAGGCTTTCGACAAGTAGTTGTAGCGCCCTGGTGGAAAGGGTGCTATTAAATCTAGTGTTTATCAGATTGTATGTGGTCTGATACTAATTCGTAGTTTGGTTCATGTGGTTCTCCCCCTAAACATTATATCATTGCTTGCCATCTGTCTGCTACCAGAGGTACTGTATGGCACTGCAGTGGCGTAACCAGAGTTGCGGAACAAAATTTTGCACCCCTCCCCACCACCATTATATCACAATCTCATCCATACTGCTGTCCCTCTGGTTCTAAGGATAATTCAAAACAATACGCAATACATTATACAGCAATGCAGAATGGCAACTGACTATAGGGGACTACAAATCCCAGCAATACACTGTACAGCAATGCAGAATGGCAACCGACTATAGAGAACTACAAATCCCAGCAATGCATTATACTGCAATAGAGAATCACAACCGGCTATAGAGGACTATAAATCCCAGCAGGCAGACACGGCCCTCTAATCAGGCATGTTAGAGGGCCGCCTGCTGGGGCCTCCGAGGCCCCCCTTGAGGAGGGAGCAGCCGCCAAGATTAGAAAGCCGCATCTGATGCAGGCGGACTGGCCGGGAGCAGCAGTGATGGGCCCCCTGACGGCCACGGCCGTATGGTCAGTACGGCCCTGCACCCGGGGCAGGCGCACTCCCCCCCCCACTGAGACCAATGATGGAGCACTATTCCTTCCACTGACACGAATGATGGAGCACTATTCCTTCCACTGACACGAATGATGGAGCACTATTCCCCCCACTGACACCAACGATGGGGGACTATTCCTCCCACTGACACGAATGATGGAGCACTATTCCCCCCACTGACACCAACGATGGGGGACTATTCCTCCCACTGACATCAATGATGGGGCGCTATTCCTCCCACTGACATCAATGATGGGGCACTATTCCTTCCACTTCATAGAGCTGCCCCTACACCTTGTCTCCACCTCCGCTCCACTGATGGTATGGCCATTGGCGTCCTCATGTCCTATACACTGTATAGGATGTGATGACTCAAGGATCCTTAGACCGCTGGAGCGGAGGGGGAGAGAGGCTTCAAGGCTTCAAGGTTCAGGTGAGTATAACTTTATTTTCGCTCCTAGACCACAATAAGCACGTTAAAGTGACATTAAACCCTCAGATTTTTTAACACAAACCAATACTGTAATGTGCGCCATTAGTAACATGACTCCCATGCTGAGATAAAGCAAGCAGAGAATACCTACATATCCTAACAATTGTTTCAATTAGGGATGCACCCATAACGTTTTTTCGGTATCAAGCAGCTTGTAACCTGAAGGACCAATCAGAAAGAAACAGCACAGCCGCCCAAGAGAGAAAATTACTTCTCACTTATTAAGTGTTAGAAACTTGCAAGACTCCAATGTGATTTGCTTTGTGTACTTTGCACAGGGGCCACCAGGTGTCACTGTGACCCGCATGTGCTTCCCATTCTTTACCATTGTACTCCGGGCCACGAGGTGGCGCTGTGATCAGCCTTCGCTCCGCGTTCATTGCCTATGCATGCAGTGTCCCCAGGTGCCGCCAGATGTCGCTGTGGCCCGCCTCCTCCGCGCTGATCTTTCCCGCCCGTCTCGTCGGTAGTTGGTGGCTACGCAGTGTGAGGCCGGACCTGAACGAATCCCGGAGCCGCAAGCCATGCCGACCGTAGAGGAGCTTTACCGCAACTATGGCATCCTGGCCGACGCCAAGGACGACGTCAGCAAGGTGAGAGCGGAGCGTGTGGGTCAGGTGACCGGGCCTGTCCTCGTGTGTTTGTGTATGGGGACGGTGTTCACCTATGTCCGGCCTCTCTCCCTGCCCCATGGCCCCATATACCAATCTGCAGGAA